TTTTTATGTTTTTTTCTTTGCGTTTTAAAAATGTCTTTTTATGTAATTAAATGCCACTAAAATCCAAAAATTCTTCTATAATCTACTGTACATTGAACAAGAGGCTCGCAAGTGCCTGAATAGCTCACTTGTTAAAAAAAACTATGATGCCATTTTGATACCGATGTTTTTCCTTTATTGCAATCAGTTATGTTTGCTTATTTGTAGATCTAATTAAAGTGGCATTGTTGCATGTTTAGTATTGATGATATTTTTTTGATTGTTCACAGTTTATGATACCAATCTATCAAAATTTATGAGATAAAAACGTCATTAAATGGCAATAAAACAATTAACTAGCTTGACAATTTGGCCATGTTGACCTACTTGTAGATTTTATGCTAAGGGGAAATAACTTCTTTAAGTAGTCTGTTGACAGTACAAATTTTTATGGGTCAGTTGAAAATTTCAACCATGTTAGCTTATTTGTAGGTCTTATTCTGCTAAACATTTTTGCTATATATTGTTGCTCTCTTTTTATCTGTTTCTGCAAAAAATTCATAAAATTGGTAAAATGGGTAAAAATGGTCATTCAGGAGCAATATCTTCTAAAAGTGGTCAGTTGACAATTTTGGCTATGTTGATTTTTTTGTAGATCTTATTGTGCTTAACATCTTTGCTTCTTACAATTCCTCTCTATAATTGTTTCTGCAAAATATTGCAAAATGAATAAACACATCTTTCAATGGCAATGACTCCTATATAGCTGTTTATTGACAATTTTAGCCATTCATAGATCTTATTTTGCTGAACACTTTTGCTCGTTATATTTTCTCTCTATCTGTTATAACTTTCTGCAACAAAACCTTAAAACTAGAGGATCTAAAGAGCCTGTGTCGCTCTCCTAGGTCTATGAGCATCTTCAACAATGGACTCTCTCCAACATTGTGGACTAAAAGAGAATTCATGACAGAAATATTTTTTTTGTTGTCGATCTTGTATTGCTGATATTTTTTTCTGTTCACAGTTTCTCTCTTCTTTCTTTAGTTTTTGCCCAAAACACAAACAAGAGGCTCTCAAGAGCCTGAATCGCTCACCTGTAATTTTTTGCTTAAATCTTTCATCAATGATTATTTTTGCTTTTCAATATATATTAATGAATGGCTTAAAACTGCCATTGAAATGTTCTTTGTATCTGTCATATTTTCTTCAAAATCAAAGAAATGCATTTTACCCCTATGTTTCATTTTGGCCATAGTGGCTATGTTTCTTGACGTACAAGAAAATAAAATAAAAAATTTATACTAGATACTCTGAAACTCATTCAACCCAAGTTTGGCTGAAATTGACTCAGCAGTTTCAAAGGAGAAGATTTTTTAAAGTAAGCAAACTAAATGACCAAATTGTGAAAAATTGATTTTAAAGGGCAATAACTCCTTAAGGGGACAATTGACAATTTTGGTCATACGAACTTATTTGTAGATCTTACTTTGCTGAACATTTTTGCCTTTACAGTTTATCTTTATTATTAATAATATTCAAGATAATAACCAAAATCCGCAAAATTTCCTTAAAATTACCAATTAAGTGGCAGCAATCCAACCATTGGTTGTTAGATTCATCTGAAAATTTCAGGGCTGACAGAGCTTGGCCTAATAAACATTTTTACTTCTCATCAGATTAGCTCTAAATGCTTTGGTTTTTGAGATATAAGCCAAAAATTGCATTTTACCCCTACATTCTATTTTTAGCCATGGCAGCCATGTTTTTTTTTACGAAACAGAAAATAAAACACAAACTTTATTCTAAATACCCTTAGAATCATTCAGCCTAAGTTTGGTTGGAATTGGTTGAGTAGTTTCAGAGAAGAAGATTTTTTAAAGTTAGAAAACATGATAAACAAATTGTGTAAAATTTTCCTTAAAGGGCAATAACTCCTTAAGGGGTCAATTGACAATTTTGATCATATGAAACTTATTTGTAGATCTTACCTTGCTGAACATTTTTGCTGTTCACAGTTTATCTTTATCATTAATAATATTCAAGATAATAACAAAAAACTACAAAATTTCCTTAAAATTACCAATTTAGTGGAAGCAACCCAACAATGGGTTATCAGATTTGGCAGATTCAACTGAAAATTTCAGGGCTGATAGAACTTCACCTAATGAACACTTTCACCCCATGTCAGATTTGCTCTAAATGCTTTGGTTTTTGAGACTGAATTTTACCCCTATGTTCTATTTTTAGCCATGGCGGCCATGTTATTTGACGAAACAGTAAATAAAACACAAACTTTATTCTGATACCCTATGCATCATTCAGCTTAAGTTTGGTTGGAATTGGTTCAGTAGACGAGAAGATGTTTGAAATAGCATACACCAGACAGACAGACGACGACGGACGCCAAGTGATGGCAAAAGCTCACGGTTCCTTCGGAATGGTGAGCTAAAAACAGTAAAACAAATATCAATTAAGGCAATCACTCCTATAAAGAATAAACCAACAAATCAGCAAACTTTTTCTTATTTGTAGATCTTGTCTTGCTGATCATTTTTGCTATTTAAAGTGTCTATCTTTTATATTTTTTCAAGATAGTAGGTAAAAAAGTAAAATATTGGTAAAAATCGTCATTAAAGAGCAAGTACTCCTAAAAAGGGTCGACTGATGATTTGCACTATTCGACTTATTTGTAGATCAAGTCTTGCTGATTATTTTTACTTAATTATGATTCTATCTACCGGTATCTATCTATCTATCATAGTTTTTCAGATATTAGGCAAAAACGCAAAATAATGGTAAAAATCATTATCAAAAGGCAATAACTCCAATAAGGGATTGTCAGACAATTTTAAGACTGTGACCTTATTTGTAGATCTTGTCTTGCTGATCACTTTTGCTCATTTAAGTTTCTATCTATCTATAATAGTTTTTCAGATATTAGGCAAAATCGCAACAAATGATAAAAATCATAGTTCAAGGGCAATAGCTCCAATAAGGAGTCATCTGATGATTTTGACCGTATGGACTTATTTGTAGATCTTGTCTTGTTGATCATTCTTTGTATACGAAGCTTCTCCCTATCTATTATAGTTTTTGTTAGCTTTTAGGCAAACATGTTCTGTCCATGAAAAGTTGACAGTTTTGAAGTACATGTAAACAGACAATATTTATCATTCTGAACATTTTTGTCCCTATCAGATTTTTCTCTATTCATAGAGGTTTTCAAGATAATAGACAAAACTTGCATTTTACCCCTATGTTCTATTTTAGCCATGTCAGCCATGTTGGTTGACAGGCAGGGTCATTGAACACATTTTTAAAACCAGATACCCTAATGATGATTGTGGCCAAGTTTGGTTAAATTTGGCTCAGTAGTTTCAGAGGAGAAGATTTTTGTAAAAGTTAACAACGACAACAGACGCCAAGTGATGAGAAAAGCTCACTTGGACCTTTAAGCCAGGTGAGCTAAATATAAGTAGATTTAGTCATTCAAGGGCAATAACTCCTTTAAGGAGTCAATTGACGATCCGTCCATGTTAACTTAATTGGCAGACCTTTAATATGCTCTATTACATGTTTTCACAACTTCTTCAGAAAGTTTAGTGCTTGACATATTGAAGAACTATCTTTCCATTGTCCAGTGGCGTATCCAGGATTGGGAGGGGTTCTGGTTGTTGGAATCCCCCTTTTTAGCTCACCGATCCGAAAGGAATTGTGAGCATTTGCCATCACTTGACGTCTGTCGTCATCTGTCGTCGTCCGTCTGGTGTAAACTATTTCAAACATCTTCTCCTCTGAAACTACTCAACCAATTCCAACCAAACTTAAGCTGAATGATGCTTCGGGTATCTTGAATAAAGTTTGTGTTTTATAAGCTGTTTCGCCAAATAACATGGCTGCCATGGCTAAAAATAGAACATAGGGGTAAAATGCAGTTTTTGGCTAATATCTTAAAAACCAAAGCATTTAGAGCAAATCTGACATGGGATTAAAGTGTTCATTAGGGGAAACTCTATCAGCCCTGAAATTTTCAGTTGAATCTGATAACCCATTGTTGGGTTGCTGCCACTTAATTGGTAATTTTAAGGAAATTTTGTAGTTTTTGGATATTATCTTGAATATTATTAATGATAAAGATAAACTGTGAACAGGAAAAATGTTCAGCAAGTTAAGATCTACAAATAAGTTCATAAGATCAAAAGGACAATTTTACACAATTTGTTTATCATGTTTTCTAACTTTAAAAAATCTTCTTCTCTGAAACTACTGAACCAATTCCAACCAAACTTAAGCTGAATGATTCTAAGGGTATCTAGAATAAATTTTGTATTTTATTTTCTTGTACGTCAAGAAACATAGCCACTATGGCTAAATTGAAACATAGCCTATGATAGGGGTAAAATGCATTTCTTTGATTTTGAAGAAATAATGACAGATACAAAGAACATTTCAATGGAAGTTTTAAGCCATTCATTAAAATATATTGAAAAGCAAAAAATAATCATTGATGAAAGATTTAAGCTAAAAATTACAGGAGAGCCTCTTGTTTTTAATGATGAATGTTTTTGAATAGGGACATATGGTTGCACCCCCCCCCCCCCCTCCTTAATCCTGGGTTGGAACCCCCCTTTTCAAAATTGCTGGATCCACCCCTGTTGTCAAAAATGCTATTTTTAACCTCTTGATGTCTTTTGGTGTTTTGTATTATTAGGTTGCTGACTAATTCATGTTTACAACCCATCTTTTAATCATATCAACATAAAGGTGATATGCAGACTGCTTATGTCATGTCTATAAAAATCCTGATGTGATGGTGACAACTTGAAAAGATTACCCTAAAATAATTGAAAAAAAATATCAATGAATTTGTCATGTCTATTTTCTGGGTTTATACTGAATCTTTTATTCTTTTATGTTTCAATTGGAAATTTCGCAATAATGCAAACTGGCTTTCAAAGTTCAGATGTTTATAATGTATCATAATAACAATCTAGCAAACAATAAAATATAAGAATAGATGAGAAAAATACAAAATTTAATAAATAGATAATATAATCAACTAACTCTTGTCAAGGATGTATGTTAGTTATATGTCCTTGCTCTTGTATATATGCAATTCATTTTAAATCCGTTTGTGTCTGAGATTTTATAATATCCAAAATATTTCCCCTATTGAGTATTTTCTGAAGATCTTCAGCATTCACCTTCACCGATCCAATTTTAGTCATTGTTAAAACATTACCACTCAACTGGTTTGAAATACTCTGCTGTGGAATGTGTTCTACTTTCAAAATGGACCTAGTACTACATGTAGGTGACCATCCTGTTTCCGATCTATGATCATCATTAAGAAATGTACTTTGTTCATTCATAAGTTGATCTTTTTTCTCTGATTTAACTGTTTTCACTTCCTCCTTAATTTTGTCTGTGATTTCTGGTTTAATCTCATTCATTTCCTCGATGATTATTCCTTCTGTCCAGGATGCTGGCACAATGTCAGATGTTGGTTGAATCCCATCTTGAATGTGGCCATCACTGAAGCTTAATTCCATTGATGCATGCTTTTTCGTGAAAAGTTGACTGGTTATTCTAAACTGACTTTGTTCATGCACTGCTCCTGTTGAATTTTCATCATTTAATGAGTCTGAACAATTATTGGCCTCAGTTTTAATAAAATTATGACCAAATCTTGTTTGTTTTTCTAAATGGATATTTTGTTCCTGATTGTCTCTGTTAGTAGTATCTTCGTGTATTTTTAAATGTTTTAAAAGCAGATGCTTTTGAATAAATTGTGCATGGCATATTCCACACTCGAAGGGATATGTATGTCTTTTCTCATGAAGGGCAAGAGTTTGTTGTGTCCTAAACGATTTACTACAAAATTTACAAATAAACGGTCTATGTCCAGTGTGTATCTTGATGTGTTCATTTCTTTGTGATAAATACAAGAATTTTCTCCCACAAAATTCACATTCATGAAGATCAGACATTCTACCAGCAAAATATTCGTCATGATGTTTCATTTTCATGTGTCCTACGCAACTAAGCTTAAACAAAAACTTTCTCCGGCAGAAATTACACTGATGTTTTTTAATCTTGAGATGCCTCACTTGATGTTGTTTATAATTAGTTTTGGAGACAAAGCCTTTGCCACAAATCTGACATTTAAAATTGAAGTCGAAAGTATGTTTCAACCTTTTATGGGCATGCAATGTATAATAGTCACTAAAAACCTTGTCACATATATCACACTGAGTTTTAACTCCTAAATGTCTTAATTCATGTTTTTTTAATGAAACACGACTTGTTACACTTTTGCCACACGTGCCACATTTATAACCAGGTTTCTTTTCAGCAACAGAATGTTTTTTCATGTGATTTCTTAATTGATAAGATTCGAAATAAAATTTATTACAGACTGGACAAGTAAATGTTATATTCCCAGCATGCACTTTTTCTTCATGTGTTTTACATTGAGCAATAGTACAAAATTTTCTATTACATACTGTGCATTCCCTAAGTTTGTCATTTGAATGTGACGCCATATGAGTCTTTAAATAATGTGTTCCAATGAATTTATTTCCACACACACCACATATATATTTTTTCTCTTTTCCATGTAAAATACAATGCTTTTTAAGACTACAACTTGATTTGAATATTTTTTTACAAATTTTACACAGAAATTCTGTACCAGAATGGCATTCTGTGTGTCTAATCAATGAACTCTTGTGCACATAAGTTTTGTCACAAATATTGCATGTGTACTTTGGTTTTGAATGTGCGGTTTTTGTATGAATTGTAAGATCATACTTTTGACTAAAAACTTCCAGACAAATTTTACATACATGCGTTTTACCACCAGCGTGGAATGACTTGATATGCCGGCCGATTGTGTGTTTTAGAAAGAACTTTTGGCAAACTGTACACTGATATTTCCCATCCTTTTGCTTTAGTGTAGGAATGATTGATGTACATGTATAAGAAGTTATGTCAGTCTCAGAAATACCCTCTTCTGGAACTGCTTTTGCTGGTTCTAAGCTGTTATGCTGTTGGTCTTTTTCCATGTTTTTCTCACTTCGATTTCTGTAACATCAAATTCTTTGTGTAAACTTAAATGAGTTTTCATATGTTGATGAAGATAGAAAGTTATGTCAACATCTTTCAATGTGTACTGCAAAGAAAAAAGTTTATAAAAGTTGGATAAAAACAGATATCATTAATACTAATGTACAAAAATGTATAAACATGAATTAAAACATCATCTTCATGTACCACAAAAGTGAAAAATAACATTCCTGCTGATAAAAAGAAATTATTAATGAAAAGAGATTCTCTACTTTGGAAATAGTTCCCTTTCAGCCCAATTCACCTCTATAAACTCCTAAAATATATAAGCTGGGTCAAATTGGATTGAAGAAGCCAAAAGTGAAATTCCAGGAATTGTGTTGAAAATCAATTCACATTACTACAGACATAAAAAGCTAAAATACTCAAAACTGAGATCACAAATAGTGGGTAAGTAACTATAATTACTTGTGAAGAGATTGTAGATGAATTAATTCAACAATGAATGAACTGAAAGCTGTTCCTGAACACAAAAATTCCAGCTATAAATTGCCTTCCTTTAAATTACACAATGCAACTTATAAATACATTTTGTTTTATATCTGAACTGAGAAAATGTTACACTTCACATTCCTCTTCGTCCATTGGTCATTTCGTCCCCATTTTTTAAATTATATTTTATTATGAAGAATGTGAAATATGTTATTTATGTGTATTTGGACAGGAATAATTGGAGACTTATAAATAAATGTACAAGTCACTGGAATATTGTATAAAAATGAAAATTGAACCAGTTGAGTGCAATCTGATGACCAATTGATATATGTGTGTTTCAGTCACTTCACGGTTCAGCTGCTGCTGCATTGCCATAAGAAAATATTTTTTTCAGCAAAATACACTTATTTTTATATCTTAATTAGTTAGGCCTGACTACTAATGTGTTATAGTAGTCTCAGGTTATGCATTTAGATCATTTGACATTTCATGTTAAAATTTAAAAAAGCAAACGTATTGTTTTTGCCATTTGTCTTTAAGACCCCATTTGCTATTTCGGTTTTATTATCATTGGATTGTTGTCTTATTGACGTGTGTCCAACAACTCCTGTAATTCATATAAACTCACTGACCTAAACAAATTCAAGTTTCCAGACTAGAAAAAAATATGGATACCCAGCAGTCTTTGAAATGAGAGAGAAACGTCAAATGATGCATTTCCTCTCCATATTTTTCAAATAATCCCTCCTTTGATTGGAGCACCATAAAACAGGTTCACGCGAATGTAAAGCATGTAATATAACTGAGGTCAAAAAGGAATACTGGAAAACAGCATTTGCTAAAAATTTGTTCTCACCAGAGACATATAATACATTAATATAATATATTCTGCTTTTTTAACTTAAGCCTTTTTGCTTATGGCTGTGGTCTGGCTTAAAATCTTAAAATTTGGTTGATTATATTCATATTTATATATGATTATCAACATTATTGCGTCAATTATAAACATTGTTGTAACAATTAAATTACTTTGCTCTTCATGGACCCTTTAACTTGAATAAAAATATCTTATCCTATTGTATGAGGGTGTGGATGGGGGGTTTACATAATAGAGAATAATGGGCAAAAATGTGAAGAATAGAGAAAAATGTACCAAGAAAATAAAGAATAGAGAATAAGGAGGTGCTAAAATATAAAGAATAGAGAACAATGGACAAAAAGTATAAAGAATAGAGAAAAATGGCCTAAAAAATAAAGAATACAGAAAAGAAGGACCCCCCATCCAGACCCTCTTGTATTATATGTCTCTATTTTTACTAAATGTCACTTTAAACAATAATATGTATAGCCAAGTTATGATTTGTATTAAAAGCATATGTAAACAGGCACTTGTCTCTGAAAAAAAAACCCTATATACCTACTACGTGCCTGTGCATATGTACCAAGGATTTGTAATTGTGTAAATATATTGGGTTGGTTTGAAATCTGAAAATAATTATAAGTTATCATTAATATTCTGATAAAGATTTTATGTGGACTATTAAGCTATAACATTAAAATTACTGCTTGTATATTTATTTATTTATGTTATTACTTATTTAGTCACTTTTCAGGGGCGTAGCTACCCGGAAGCATGACAGCACGTGCATCCACGTCGTTTTCACCCAAAAAAAAGAGAGAGAGAGAGAGAGAGGGACAAAGTTAACTTATAGGAATTGGTCTTTTTATGTATGTATTTTAAAAACTACACAAAGAATAAAAGTAAGAGGAATAAACATGCAGCGAAATTTTTACTCCTGTAAGACATGTATGTGGCCGATAAATACATACAACTGGTGTAAACATAGTGGAACTTTTTATATTACGGACATTGTTTAGAAAAACAGCTATATAATTATCGGTACCACCACCATAACGTATACTAGCCTTGAGTGCAAAAAACAACATATAATCCCTTTAGGGTTAACAAAAAAACTTGAAAATTATTATTTTCCGCTTCGCCCCAAAGCACACATCTTACTAGAACGAAGACTCTTCAACTCGTATCGATCCGGGAATAACGACTGTTACCTTGTAAAGTAGTTCAAAAATTGACCAAGTATGCAGGTCTTGACAACACGAATACTTCATTTTCACATCACGTCAACGTATTCTCGTCCTGGTGTGCATGTAACATTTGCTACTGGACATTAATAACCATTCAATCAATCAATAGTTTACGTAACTAATAGACGAGACGTATGAAACTGCTGTTATTATAAAAAAAAAAAGTATACATTTCCAGTACATGTATTACGTTTTTTTATTTATTTCACAAAAAAACATCTTGTATACTGAACTATTTGGTCATTCAATTTCATAATGAATTTTCTGTCCGAGTCGGACACTAAACTGCGGATTCTTATTCGATCGAAACACCAAATTTTTAATACACGTATCTTCACTGTTATCATCTAGATATTGCAATACAACTTGTCAAATGCATATGTATTTGTTAATTAGCTGGATAATTAACAAACGCAGATCATGAAAAGATTGTGATCAAAGTACCATGCCCTCCGAAAAAGTTCCTTAATTTCAAATTCGAGAATTCCTAACTGCGTAAAATAAGAAATTCCTATCTCTCTCTTGTAGAGTTTACCCACAGAATTTTTAAACATCAAAATACATATGTTCAGCAAAATATTGGAGAATGTGTCCACCAAGTATTTGGTACCCAAAGATGTTTATGCTAACAAATTTCACATATAGTATTGTGTTTATGTTTATTGTTTGTTTTTTATACATCTACTTTGCTCAATACAAATACTAGCATATGGAACAAACCTCCGTGATTTTAAAAGCTCTCATGGCGTACAAAAAAACGCAAACGACAATGTTTAGTCTTCATTCGACTCGAAGTTAAACAAATAGTAGACCAAAAAACCACAACAAAAATATACAAGTTTTATTACGGTTGTGATTGTTTTGAAACGCTATATATGCGGATTTTCCGGGGGGCTTCGCCCCCCCCCCCCCCCCTGGCCCCCTACCAGGGCTTTGCCCTGGACCTACTGGGGGCCTAAAGGGCCCCAGACCCCTCGCCTTTAGTTTGTGATTCCACTTCATTAAGAAGGTAGCTACGCCCCTGCTTTTGTTCAAACAACGTTAACAATGTTGTGCTAAAAAGGTAAAATGAAAATGAGTAAATGCGTCTAATCTATCTGATTCATCTATATTTACTGGTCAATTTACGGTTATGTACATTGTCCTAGTCTTGATCTTTTTCTGTGTTTTTTAAATGGTGTCCATTCTAATTTCTCTAGCATTTCTGTAACAGATAAGGTTTTATAGTGTCCCCCCACCCCCGATGTATCTGACAGCCCTTCGCTAACATATCTCAATCTGATGTATATATCATCCTTCAGATAAGGATCCGAACTTGGGCAGGCATATTCCACAGAAGGCATTCGAAATACAAAAATAAGAAGATGTAGTATGATTGCCAATAAGACAACTCTCCACCAGAAACCAAATGAAGTAGAAATTAACAACTACAGTGCTTTATATGCTCTTTCTTTTAGAGTTGTTTTTAATGTTTATATTTCTTGTAATATTCCCATGCACTCTTGTACATACTTGATGACATTGAAATACCAATATTTAACTGCTGCTACATTCCATAAAGTATATACTTGTTAAAAAAAGGTTTTCTCTTTCTTGTGACGGTAAGCACATTATATTGTTCTGTTCATTTTCCAGGTTTGTTCCTAGTGACGCAGTTTATCAAAGCCATCTTCAAGCTGGATTCCATCGATACCTGATTCTATAGTAAGATATACAATTGTGTCTTTCGCAAATAGTCTTACAGTCAATCTATTTTTTTCTGCATATCGCTACTGTAGTATAGAAATAACTTGACCCATGGTCTAGTACTTGTACATGGGTCACTCCAGATTCTACATCTGTGTATCCTGATGATTCTCCCTCCTCGAGTACAGCTTGTTTTCTGTCTCTCTGGAACTTTTGGATCCAAATTCATGTGTTAATAGACTGTGAGACACTTTATCAAATACTTTGCTGAAATCTAAAATTAAACGTTCTATCTGTTGTCCTACTTCCAAGTTTTTATTAAATGTCGGGTATATAATATCTATATACGTGTATCTAGTTTGATGTTGATCCAAAAGTGCTCCTTGCAATTGCTAATGCCAGTCATGGTGATCGTTCTGTTCTGTTGAGACTATATTCTCTATATATTTTCAGTAAGCACGTCGAAGTTCTCAGTGTGTCCCTTGTTATGTGGTGGCGATATGAAAATAAGAATGCTGAGTCTGGGAAGATTATTATATCACCTCTACCAATTATGTAGGTTCACCTGTTTCCCCGTCCTTATAAACAGCTATCAGTAAAAAATATAGAAGTCTTTGGAAAATTTCCTGGCTTGACTAAAATAAGTGAAATAAATCCAAGGCATGGGATATGCCATATGAGGACCATGTGTAGATATAAGTTTTGTTACTTCTAAGACTCAAATTCTAAACTGAGAAAGTTAAACTAATCAAGAAAATAGTTGTGACATTTATCTGCAGAGATGTATCTGCTCTCCGTTCAAGTCATGAGAACAAATTAGAGTTATCTCTCCTTACACAGTGTAGGAAGAGCAAGAATTTTATTACTGAAAAACAAAAATAAACAATACAAGCATGTAACGTTGACAAAAAAAGTATTTTTTTAAATGCATGACAGCATGTCTACTCCTATATAAGCATTTAAATTGAAAAAATTGATAGACACCTATTATTGATATAAAACCATACATGTAAAATACATTATGCATGTACTATTCAAAGTATGGTTGTTCTATCATTCTACATCTCACTTCTACAGTGACAGACGTCCGTTAGGCGTACTGCATTTTACTAAATGAATGCAAATACAAAAAAAAACTGCTTCTTCTTTCGGAAATTTTTACAATGAAGTGTACCTCTTTTGGGTAAAGTTATATTATCACAAAAAATCACTTACTGTAATTCAAAATATGGACACAATTATTCAATAGTAGTCTTTAATTGGGTCTAATTTTATACTTGTTTTTATATGCCTAAATCATTATAATTAACTGGGGTGGTGTAAGAAAAAAAAATATCATAGGGACTCAGTGGATAAAATTATTTTCATTACTTTAAAAACGTTAATTATCAATGGTAAACGATCAAGCACATGAATGATGATACCATACGTATACTCAGAGACATACTTATATCATAAACAAATGTCTAAAATGTCTTATGTAGTAAATATCTCTGTCATACCAAAATGCAGCATGATATAAATATTTTATTGGTCATAAGTCAAAAATAATTATTCAAATATTTTGAATCTGGTTTTCTGTTGAAAAAGGATTCGTTTGGAACTGTTAAGTAAAATTGTCAGATTCTCAATAATTTGTATTGTATTACTTTAAGGCTGTTATTTTATTTATTAATTCACGGTTTCAGATTTAATTAACTTACAAAACAGAACTTTCATATTATTAACCTACTTATTAACAGCCCATCAAGGACAGACTCACCATTTTGGTTTAGTACAAAGCAGGGTTCATATTTATGTCACATTACTATAGGATGTTCTCGTTCTGATATATATATGTAATCGGTTTAAAGAGTATTGTTTAAACCTATTTAGTATACCGATTACAATTAAGCATTGTCCTAACTTAAAGCAGTGTCTCGGGTTGTCCAAGATAGCTCACCAAAGCAAGACAGTGATGATCATCGATATTTTTTTTTTTATTTCAATATATTGAAGCTGTCAAAAGACAACAAGGATATTGTTGTTAGTTGTACCGTTAAAAAAACTCCTTTTCTTCATATCTTAGATGTCATATTAATGATAGTGGCTACTTAAACTGTGAAGAACATAGTCAATGATTGATAGTTTGTCTTAAGGGTATGTCCTTGTTCTTATCATTTAATCCATGATAATCATTTTGACATGGTTTTATTTTTAAAGTGATTACAAATATTATTAATATTATTACTTTAAATTCTGATTATGTATGTCAGTGTCATTATGATGTGTTAAAACAACAAATTTGTAAGACTGAAACCCATGTGACGAGAAATATTTTAAAACATTAGTTTATGGTATTTTGTTGTAAAGAAATTTGTTGCGTTTTTTTTTGTTTTTTTTTTATTGATTATCAGATTTTTGAGTAAGGCATTTTTATACCCCACTTTTAAATGTCTGTCCCATACTAAATTTGTTTGTATTGCAGTATCTTTTATTGTAGAGTGATCCATGACCAAAATATATGATATATATAATCAAATTACAATGGCACGCGTGTCATCATCTAGTATTGAATGCAATTAACAAGTCTGATAAACTGTATATACGGTGATGATGTTAATTGGGATAATTAATATCTAAACTGACATATTCTTTTATTATATACGAAGCTTTGTGTGAAATCTGTGAACGGTTCGACTTTCTAAAATCTTCCCCTTAAATTGTTATACGTACAAAAGACGACCTTTTAAAGTAAAACAGATGTATTATATTCTTTACTTCTATCCTCATCATTTATTAATATAAAACTTTTTCTTTGTTATTCAATAATTATTTTTTTTATGTAAAGCATACGGTTTGTGATCTAGCTTTTGCACCTATTCATTAAAGTACTTAAAAACAAAAGAATTTTAATTTCATTAATGCAATTAATATGATTAAACCGACCAGCAATGAAGTGCTTTAACTGATCTCACTGCACATATTGATATAATTAACATGGCCAAGGGTCAACAAATCAATTAATTACACTGATGAAGTGTGAAATTCACTGCAGTGTCCTCGACAGGATCAGACACGGCACAGTATGGCCGTAATCACCAATTAATCTTTACCTTTGAAGTAGAACAACATAGTTCTGAATCCAATTCACTCAATTTGATCATGATTCAAGTATTATAGTTACATCTTAGTCCTTATATATAATAAATTTAAAGACACCTTTTCATCATATTACCAATATCTAAACATCAGATTGAGATCATATATTGAAGACAAAAATGGGTAATTTATTTTCCAATCGTAACATGCGTAAGTGTTTGCTCTGACACATTTATTTTTGCCGCTTCCCGAAGGCAATCGTTGATTGCTGTTAAAACATTATTTGATCATACATTTACAATATAGATTTACAGTTATTGAACTGACCCTAAGGGAATGGTTTATACATGTTTCACACAAATGAAATCTGCAGACATATTATGTAATTACGGACTGTTACATATGTTCCGTTAAAACTAGTAAATCTTCCGTTAACTTGCGATCAAATATCATATATGCTGGAGTTTTAAGCAGATACATTATCCGGGCATTTCTTATTAGTCTTCTTCCTTATATTTCAAATTCAACGACGAACATGACAAACAAACGAATAAATAAGATGTTAATGATGATAATTTCATTTGCAAATAGATATCATATTACTTTCATTCTTAGAAAAAAAAAGTAATTAAATTGTTTGTGTCTAAAATGTTTAAGTCTCTTTTTTTATAACAGATTTTGTAGTTTAAAAAAATATCTACTCCCAGATTGTAGAAGTCCATTAGTAAACGGACTTATATATTAAATATTCCTTGTGACCCTATTTGAAAAAAATATAAACATTAAGCATCTTCTATATTGACTTTATCATCAGGGATTTTAATGTCAACATAAATAACATTTTCATAAAAAAAAGAGTTAAAGACAGCAAATTATTAGCTATTTGCAATAAAAGTATTAATTCGTTTGTATGCAATGAGGATGCTGTTGTGTACACACGTGTTCAATTTTTAAATATTTGAATGAACATCACAAAGGCGGGGAAAGCCCATTTCCTCTCGTTTGTAAACGAGTGTAACAATTTCGACCAATCAGCGTCGAGTATATTCGGATTGTTGGTGTTTAATTTTGACAAGATAGGGTGCATCACTTTTCGGAGTTTAAACTTTTGGATAACGTATTTATGCCTAAATTTATGAAATTAATAGCAATTCAGAGTAATGAAAGGTAAGTTACACGTTCGATATAAAATGTCATTTATAAATATTAAAGAAAAGAAAGTGAAAGGTCATAACAGGGCAAATATAATGGGCGGTTTAAATATTTGAAATTTGTCAATGGAAAGTAATAACATTAAGAAAATAGATCTTTTCGGAAGAGAAGAATAAAATGTGATATAAAATAACGGTTTTTATAAGACTTGTTTCAAAGATAAATCTGGTCATGAAAGATGTATAACTGAAAATGCATCATGGCATTTGAACCACTTTCACGACGTTAAAATAATAAAATCCAAACATTTTTTTTTTATTTTCGGGTAATGAAAATGTTCCCTTCGTACCCATTTTAAATATTTATGTAATCACAATTGTCCAGAAGTGTCCAAAGACGAGTGCATGCTGTAGACTATCAGATAAAATGGTCCAGCTTGTGTTCCAAATATTAGTATCGTAAATTCAAATGGTAAACAAAGTGATTGATGGTCATTGTAACATACTTAACGTGCCATTTGCAAGTATATTATAATATTTTAGTGACGAAAACTGTGAACTGACATCCACTGGCTCCAGTACAGTCGAAGAAAAAATAATAAATAAATGTTTGATACTCATCGAACAATTTTATTGTTTTATTGATTTCTTGTTATCACATGTATCAAACACTTTTACCTATCTAATTATTAGTTGATAACAGGTGTATACGACGATGAATATGTTCAGACTTGTGTTAAATAAATTATGAATAGCAGTCATTAGTGTCATTGAAACACGTTTATTTTCAAATCGTTCATTGGTTATCGACCTTTGCAAGCGCCGGCTTGTTTACATTGACAACCAATCAAAAGCGGGGACACCCTGCTTGTTACTAAAAATAAATAGTAAGTTCACGGTATCGATGTTTCAATGACAAAAATAAACTTTCAACATTCATGATAATTTTGCATAACTTATACTTGATGTGGAACTTATTTGAACTTTATCACAACTGAAATTCCTAATATGAAAAGCATGTTTGTAAAAATTCGTAAGTACTTTTATATTTCATTATCAAAATATAGCAATGGTAAAAATTTTGAAAATGCAACAAATGTTTACTTAAATTGCAAAATTTAATTTTCGAGTTTCAGAATTTTATGAATATGCATTTTCCAGCAAGACCTACATACATATATATACATATATATATATATATACTTTAAATTACATACATGACCTTTTTTTTTTATAGTAACCAATTTACATGTATACTCATAATTTTTTTACAGTTCTAAATGCCCTCAGCAAATTTCAAAAGTCTCCGAACACTTTTATACCAGTCCACATGCATCTTCGTCCAAGAACACGGAGTCAGATGACAATATGGAATCTACCTGAAGAACTATTGTTGTATATCATTAAAGGATTACATATCAGAGATGTTCTTAATTTGAGAGCTGTAAGTAAAGTATATTTTTATTATTGTGATTTACTTTGGTGTACAACAACAAATTACATGTATATGCTTTGTCTCGGATAACAAACCATTGGCAATCATACAACATCCTCTAAATTTTATATGGTTAAATAAGAGTCAGTCTGAATAGTTTTACTATTATTATTTGACATTTTTGAAACATTAATTCATTAGAATAAAAGAATTTTTCTTGAAATGAAATTACAACATATTGTTGTGTTCACATGATACAGAAACTAAAACAAATAGCTATTTAAGTAGTTCTGAATTAACTAGTGTTTTTTTTTCTCCAGGTTCACCCATACTTTAAAGATTTAATAGAAAACAGTTCTGTGATCTGGAATTCCACAAGTTTTCAAGATGAATGGCCCTCACTGAAAAACATTCCTCATTTTGAGAAGTAAGTATTTTTGAACTATATTTTGATTATGCACACTGTAATAGACATTTTTTTTTAAATGGGAATAAAACATGTATTAGTCTGGCAAACATTTAAGCTGCTTTTATCTTTCCTACATGCATCATGTAAGCAGCTTCAAAAGTAGAAGAGAAACGAGTGAGAAACAATAATTAATAGGCGATCAAAGTACCCACCTCGATGTTGCTTCCAGATATTAGTTTTTAGTTCAACCATTGTCTAGATGAAGAATTGCAATTAAATAAGTTATTTCACAGTTTTGAATGAGGTTGTTGTCTCATTCCCCTTTACCCTGGTTGAAAAGACAGAGTATGGATGTGTCAGAAGTACACTTTTCACCATATGTATATATTAACATAAATTATAACCATTTAATAGTTTTAGCTCACACAAACGTCTAACAAGGAACTGTACAAAACATATATATGACTGAAAATAAAGATTTTATCATTTTATTGACTGAAGTTGTCATCCTGAAGTGCTGCCATGTATAAATATTAAACTCTCCTTTCTTTTTCAGAGCTGGAGATTTGGGAAATCTTGAAGCATTGATTAAAATGGCCATTGCCTACCTCTATAATGAAGGATGTAAGTAGGACTGCCTTTTTATCACAAAGCTATTTATTTTTGTCCTTTTTTGTTTACACAGGACATGAGGTGTGAAATGGACATGTATATTTGACTCTCCATTGTTAACTCTATATATATAGGTGTTAATTTCTTCTGACAAAAAACATGTACAATGTATGACGTAAAATAGCAGGTTCATTTATATTTTTTTTATTATAACAACAGAATTTTGACAAAAGAAAATAAACATACAAATAGAAAATGAAAAAGAAATCAATTAAACAAACAAATCATGAATAAATAAAAAAGAAAAAGAAACATGGTAGAGTAGCTACATTTTATGTACAAGCTATTGAGGGCTATTATAAAGAAATATGCACTGAGGGTTTGTAAGACTCATCAAATAATTATTTATGGGTAGGTTAGAAGACATTCAACACATAATTTTTATTTTTGCCCTATCTTCTGTTTCCTAAAACCAAAAATAACCAAACAACCAAAACAATGCTGGTACCTTCTGGATCCTTCTGTTAAGTCTGTTCTGGTTTCTAGAACAATCCCAAGAAATCAATTACTTTTTTTGTGCTAGTTAAACAAGATAATGAAACAATATATTTAAAGCTACAGTAATGATTTTATTTTTTCTTACAGTACCTACAGATTTGGAAGGAAAGAAAACAATCAACAATGGAGAGAAGGCAGCAGATATATTTTGTAGAATTGAAGGACTTAGTCCAAACACAGATCCTTTTACATGGCTGTTTATACGACCACCTTGGTCTGTTAATGGTGCTTGTTGCAAAGAATGTGTCTTCAAATACATGAAAGATTTTATCAAAACGGTAAGGAATGATAATAGATTGTTACCAGTGGCTCTTTACACAAAAATCTTACAACCAAAATTGATCGGAAGTTAAAGTGAGATGTTTATGACTTCTGAGTATTTTTTCTTGAACGATTTTTTTTGTGATAATACTCCGAGGTGTTTTACAGCAGCAGTTAAGTACTTTATCAGGGAGGGATTTGAAAATATCCTGATCCTAGGTTCATAACAGTGGTTCATAAGGTTTAATTTTTGTGAAATTCCTTTCAACCATTTTTTTTAATGGAAATAAGTTTGATAGACTTTTTAAACTTTTATTCAGCTTGGCTTAAATATTTGTGCATTTGATTATTTTAATGGACTTATGAAGAAAATAGAAATGACATTAAATATGAAACAAAGGAGATTTAGAGTATATGTCAATGAGGCAGCAACTTTCTAAAAAAGAATGTGTGTTTTTTTTTTAGCTGATTTAATAAAGTAAAAAGATTAACATTCTATCAACACATAATGTGCTATTTTAATGACATATTTGAATCAAATTATTCTTTCACAATTAATATTGATTATTTCAGACAAAAGATAAAAATATCCATGTATGTGTAGCTAGGACGTTAATGTTACTGGAATCAGAAGATACTACAGAGATTTGCCAGTATCTAAAGGATGGTGCTGAACTTGGATCAGGCGTAGCAGCATTTATGTTCTGGCAACAGAAATATGATAAAATGGTAAATAAAAATAAAATGGTTTCATAATATATTAGCTCAACCAGATAGTCAATCACAAATTGTAAAATGATATTTGTGGTTTAATTCACATAACAAAAAAAAAATCAAACCTAGTCTGAAAAAAATATTTTATTCAAATGAATGAAATTGCTGTAAATGAAGAGAAACCCTCAAACTTTGACTTGAACAAATACTCTTTTGAATATTCAATAATTTTTTTGGCATAATCTTTTATAAATAAGTTTTTTTTACCTTTAAACAATTTTAATCAATCTTTAATTTTATTTGTAGGTAATGGACAAAGGAACAGAATTAACTAGTATAAGGGAACTGAGGGATCTGACTTCTTTAGGCTATCTTGAAGCTAAACTGACTCTCTGTAAATACTACGCACATGGGAAATATGGCGGTATATCTCAACACCAGGCAGCTATGTTTGTAAAAGATTTGGTGCAGACAACATCACCTACAAACACTCAAGACTGCTTTCAAACCTCACAGGAATTAACCCAATCTATGAGGTAAGATTAATAATTCAGAACATTTTGTAAGTCTTGATTTTAATGTTGATTATAATTTCTTGATATATGGTCTTTAAGCACCAAACACAGGACGTATAAAAAAAATTAGAAAAAAGTTCTTTAACACAAATTTCAAAAGATTCTATATGTCAACGCTAAAAAATTTCACAAAAACAAATTACGGTTGCATTAATTTTTTGTCTTACGACTGAAAATTCTACTTGGTCACATCATAGTTTGATATCAGTTTGACTGTGTTTCAATTAAACTGTATTTATCTTTAGTGTCATTTCAAATTAGCATATCAAAACAACAATATTATGATTAGAAATGTAATATATGTATTCTAAAACTTGTTTTCCTCATTGAAATCCAGTATTCATGAATAAATTCCCTAATAACATTTTTTTTCATTGTTTCAGATACATTCTTGTCGATTGGTTGGTAGAAGTCGCAGGGATGAAAGATTTCTCTAGTCATACACTGCATGTAGCCGTTAGTATGGTGGATAGATTTTTAAAAGTTCACAAGACATCTCGTTCCAAACTGCAATTATTAGGTGTAGCCGCTATGCTTCTTTGTTCAAGGTGAGTTTATATTATGTTTTTAAGTCAATGCATTGAACACAATGTTTTTCTTGGGGAGGGGGGTTGTAGGAGGAGAAGTTCAAATTCCACATGTCCATATTTTTTTCGTTATGTCCTAAATAAAATTCTACAGAAATATTAACATCACTTGCAAGGCTGTCCTTACTTATATGAATTATGCATGTAGTAATTTTTTGTCATTCAAAAGAAGGTATCAATACATTTGGACTTCTTTGATGATGCCAGTTATAATATATAAACTTCCAACAGAATTCAAATGAATAGAAGTTTTTGTAAACAAGGATCATAAATTGAAAAGATGTATTTTTATGGGTTCATGTTGAGCAGTAAAAAAAGTGTGAATTTATAAAATTAATGTTCTTAATTTGTTTTTTCAGATATTTAGGTAAAGATATTATCACCATTAGAGAGGCAGCCTGGCTGACCGACAGTACATACAAGTATGAAGATATTGTCCGAATGATGGGCGAGATAGCTGCTACCTTGAAAGGCAACATTAGGACAATCACTAGCATTGATTTGGTTGAGATATTCTGTATACTATGTGATCTGGATAAGAAATCGTGTTACTTAGCAGAATACATCTGTGAACTTTGCCTTCTCCAGGCAGAGATGGGACAATATAGCCCTGCAGAGATTGCTGCTAGTTGTGTGCTGTTAGCTCGTGTCTTAATGAAGCATGGTATGTATTAACAATATCGTTATGATACATGAATCCTTTATTTGTTAATGCTAAAGCTTGAAATTTTTTTAAATTAAAAGTTGATTTAATGAAATGAAATTTGAAGAAGGGAGAAATCTGTATTAACAAAGAGTAACTTTCATAGTATTTAAGACAGAGATCTGAAAAGTTGCAATTTATTTTAGAGTTATCTCCCTTATACTGTTATAAAAAGTGCAATATTTTTTACATTTTCAGAAAATGCTTGGCCATCAAAGATGAGTTTATTCACAGGATATAAGATAGAAGACATAAGTAGATGTGCATTCCATCTTCATGAAAAGTGGTAAGTTTATTTTTGCAATAAGAGCTTTGAAACATTCATCTAAATTTTTTCTTGTAAATTGTCATTTCTTGCAAAAAATAAATGGTGGTAAAACTCTAAAAATCAGTCATATAGTGTTTGAACTTGATAATGAGATAAAAAAAACTTATGCTTTTAAAGCATTGTCTGTGTTACTGTTAAACAGTGCCAGTTCAAGTTAAAGGAAAGTCTTTAAAATTCAATTTGTTACATTTCAGCTTCCTAGAGGGATCCGTTGTGGATCATAGAGATGTTAAACTACAGTCAGTTAAACTTAGATATGCTGAAGAAAAATTCTACAAAGTCAGTGAAATACAGGTAAGAATTGACTATCATCTGTTAGCTTATAATGTTTTACAGGTTGTTTATGAGTAAAAATAGGTTTTACATGATAAACACAATGTTATAAAGAATTAAAAGGTTTTTTTTAAATTAAGTCTATTATATTTCACTTAAAACAAATGAGCTTGAGCAAGAATAGGTCTTGAGTCACTTTCATGAAAAAAACATTTCTAAAAAAGACGACAAAAAAACAACTGATGCAAATAAATGTATTCTTTACCAAGCATTAGAAAAATGAAAATATTAAAGTTAAGATTTCAATATGCTGAAAGAATTAGCCAAATTGAATTTTCAGTTCTCTCCCCTATATCATAAAAAAGTATAATTTGATTTATAGAGGTAATAAATTATGAGTTATGTCTTCTTGATTCCAAAATTTATATATATTTCAGATAATGAGTTATGAAGAATTGTGCATAATGTTAGGTGTAACAGAACACATACTACAAGGATGTGATGTACGTGTCAAGTTCAAAAACGATGATGAGCTTATCTTATCTCCCTCCCGAAAGAAGAGGAAATATGACAAGTAAGTAAAGATAAGACCGTTACGAACATCCTTAAATGAGGGAATTTTTTTAAAAATAAACTCAAAGGAAAATTAGAAAATTTTTCTATTAGAAAATCTTAGATGTTACCAAAATTATTCTGAAGATTCCATAATGTGGAAGATTTGTTACCAAGCTATGAAATTCTCATATGCTTAAAAATAATGAAGATTTAGCAGATTTTGAAGTTAAAAACCAGACAAACACTATTGTAAAAGTATTGAACACATGAAGACCAATTTAGAAATTTGTTGCATTTTGAAAAGTTTAAAACATGTGCCTTTATGTTTTATATCTCTATTTCAGACCATATTCCCGTATGAGAGAAAGAAGAACTTTCAATAGTTTGACAATGGAAGGAGTCCGACCACATGATTCTGTTTTGTCTGGTTATGATGGTGACAAAGAAGATGCAGATGAGTCTTTTATAGAAGAAGAAGGTAGGATCACAAGTTACATTAGCATTTAAACATTAGAATATATTTTTAGGTACCGTTACTAATATTTTTACATTTGGATTCAGTGATAGATTCACAATTATGATGGACCAAATGGATTTTTCAAAAGCAATTTCATAAAAAAAATAGATTTGTTAATAAAATGGGGAATAAACCATTGAGACATCCAAATCAACAACTGTGTTAAAATTTGCCAGTATGATGAATGGATACCTTTTTCATTCAAACAAACAAACAATATGCTTAAATAAGGAAACTGAAAAGTAAACAAGTTGAGATCTAAGCATTTCAGGAAAAAAATGATTTGAATTGATAACATTGTTTTTTTAAGATTTTAGAGTTTAAAATAAGTTTTGTATTTCTTTTTTTTAGAATTCAGTGATTGCAGCAAGCTAGATGAAGGATTTGATGCTTCCTCATGTTCTGAGGGAGAGTCTGTAATCCAGCCAACATCTGCCAGTAAAAATGTCAAAACAATGACCTTAAATATCTCATTTATGAACACATCACCTCTTGCATCAGGATTTTCATTAGTTACTCCTGGTTACTCCTGTGATAAAGAATTAACCTCAGGATTGGCGTCTTCGCCAATGTCCTCAACCCCAGAGGATTGTCCGTCCACATCATCTGTCATACCGAAATCATCATCGCTCTGTAAACTTGAACATCTACCGTCAATGTGTGCTGACTCTACAAGTGATTCAGACTTTGAATTCTCTCCAACAAAATACTCTGACAAACGCAAAAGTGCTACAAGTCACATGACTTTACGAGGAAGTAGAAAAAGACGACAGGGAGGAAGTTGTTGTGCTCTAGTGCTTCACCACAATCTACGCCAACACAATCAGTGATTGTTGTGATATTGACAATACAGTAATGTGCTACCGATACTGCCAAAATAACACTGTCATGGCAACCAAGTTGCAAAGTGTATTATTATGTGGTCATAGCCACACTAAATTGAATGACTGAATGAATGGAATGTTTCTATTTAAATTTGATAACTGAGAAAGTATGATTATGAAATATTTCAAATGTTTAGAAAACATCTGTTTTGCTGAAATAATGTTCAGCTCAGTATAAATAAGGAATTGTTCAGCTCTCTATCTTCCTTTCCCAATGCAAAAAAAATAATTTTTGGCTCAGCTCACTATTAGGAAAGGACCAAGGATGCTAATTATAGTTGCCTTTGGAATAAACTAAAACAAACTACTTTGGTGATGTCATGTAATTTCTTTTAATATAAAGGGTATATAAATTGGTGATTTCAACAATATTATAAAATATTGCATGCAAAAAAGAGCAGGAGGTACCCTATCTTTAAAAAATGAAAACACTGAATTATTACATTTGCCAAATGGATGTTTCCTATATATTGTGAATTAAATTTTTAAAAGCATAATTGTTCATGTAATAACTGTTCCAAAAGATTATATATGGTATGACTTGTCTTGTGACAGGAATGTATGATTGACATGATAATAAGCCTCTATGTGAGATGACTGTATTTAAGTTTGTCTGAAAAGTCATGCATGATAATTGGATAAAAGGTTACTTCAGACATTATTCTCATTACAGTGCGTTAAAATTTTATTTGAAAAACCAAATTGTATGCTTTTTTTGAAGCATTACACTCTTCGCTTGCAGATTTATTTGAGTACAAATATTTGTGATCAGGGGAGAGATGTAACAAGGTTTGAAGAAAGCCATATTATTATGTGCAATGCTATTTTATTTAGCTAAATGATTCCGTCTTAGACATATCAATATGATATTAAAATGGGTAATACATGTTAGTCAAACTTTAAAAGGTCATTCCATGTCATCACACTAATCATGAATAAATATTTCATCTGACATCATTTTCATTACTATCATATTTTTTGTTGATAATTTATATTTATACATGACTTTTATGTATTTTATATTTTTTTATATTACTGTGCCAGTTTCAGACTTTCATGACTTATCTTACATACCAATAGCTGAATTAAAACACATGTATTAGAATTTCATTCTTTAATTGAAATGTTGTCAATCACTGGCTTTTTCTGTCAGTTATGCTTTTTCTTTTACAAATTCAGCATTATGTCTGTGTCTTTTTGCTACATTTAAGTGGGGAAATGATAAGTAAAGAGATTTAAAAAGGACTTGTATTTTAAATACTGATGAAATTTGCAAAGAAAACTTAACCTCTTGAGATCTGCCTTTTTACCGGTTTAGAAATCTTTATTAAATCAAAGATTTCTTTCTGTTATCTGTTTTCTGTTATGTAACTTTTGTTATAGCATATATTAACTGTTTGTTGTGTTTTCTTGTGAGTATGTCTTAGAAAGTGTTTTTGTTATAAAGTTATGTATATTATTGTATGAGAGGTTTTTTCACATGTTAAAATTCACTTATTTATTTAGTAAAGTTGGTTGTTTGGTTTATTGCTGAAATATGACGACAGTAAGTCATTGTTTGATTTGATCACAACGTTATTGAAGGGTAGTTAGTTTTTAGTCAATGTGAACAAAAATTGTTTACCTGAAATTTGCATACTTGGGAAGTATAAAACTTTGAAGTTTGTATGGTCTTACAAAAAATATTTCAAAATATTGCACATCTTGATCAATACTCTTGTTCTAAAACAGGCAGGAAGCAATTGCAATTTTTTGTTATTAACAGAATTTAACCAACTACTTTGTCTTTTTTCATACAGAATCTAGGTGCCTAATTTTAGTCATTATAGACACCCACTTTAATAATTTTGAAAGTCCTGCATTAAATTTATTTATGCTGAATCAGTCCCATTGAAAGTATGGATGAAAAATACATTTATTTTTGTATGATTGTGGGCATTTATGTGTGTTCAAGAATTCTCATTTATGTTATATTTTGTGGAGATTTAATATTTTTGTATCAAAAGAATAAAATTTATAATATTGTATACTTGTGATACATTTTTATTGCCACTTTTGACAGCTACTTGGTATTCATTAATCAGAACATTTAGTTTGTTGCAGCAACTGGTCAGTTTATAGCTTTGGATAAACATTCTTAATATTTTATATGTTTCTACATGTGCCCATCCCAAGTCTAGAGCCTGTAATTTATTGGTATTCATTAATCAGAACATTTAGTTTGTTGCAGCAACTGGTCAGTTTATAGCTTTGGATACACATTCTTAATATTTTATATGTTTCTACATGTGTAGCTGTCTATCATTTTGTTTTGTTGTTTTGTCATAAATCAGGCTGTTAGTATTTTCGTTTGAATTGTTTCACAGTTTGTCATGGCATGGCCTTTTATAGCAGGGTTTATAAGGCATTAGTTTGCTTATTGTTGAAGGCTGTACCATGACCTATAGTTGGTTAATCCAGGTCTTTTTGACTCTGGTGGATATATGTCTCATTGGCCATCATAACACATATCCTTATTATATATTAATATTTTAATACCTTTAGCAGATGCAATTTCATCATTTAGAAAAGTGTGAATAAGTGTCATATACGGTTGCCTATTATTGATTACATCCATTTTATTTGAACTTTGGTGGATAGTTGTCTCATTGGCAATCATACCTCATCTCCGTATTTTTATATAGTATAAATAAAAAAAAATAATTTTAATTCATGCACACAGCACATGTCTCTGGAACCTTTAATAGGAATGATATAGAAAAAAATTATGGAAAAGACAAAAATATAAGACATTGGATGCAACTACCTAGCTTATGTCATCTGTAAAAGTGTTGTCCTGTTTGCTCACCTTGTCTGAAGTGCTATAGTGTGCTCATACGCCTGTCATGCTTGACTTCCTTCTAGCGTTTTATCTTTATTAAAAAAACAAGGGTGATTTGGGTATAGACCAAATATGGTCGCCATGGTCTTCTTCCGACCAGTAGTTAAACCCTTGCCAAAGTAGGGCTTGTACTTGGCTGTGTGGGATAAATAAATTTGCAGCCACGTCCGGTCAGAATTGGACGTTAAATCTCATGTATGATGTAGAAAGGGCCACACTTGCAACAATTATGAAGGATCCGAAGGTGGCCTGTTACAAGGCAAATTTCTGCAACTATTTAAACTACCATTGTATTCCACTTGCACTCCAAGTTTCCTTGGGTTTGTCCATATTGTCTCACCCTGCAGATCATACCTTCTGTATTTAATTGTTAATAGTTTCTTGTCCTGAATATGCATGCAATACTTGTCATTGAGCAAGCAACACTTATCAATCATTGAAAAAAAAATCCGCTGACACCATTCTGCCAGCTGGAAACTTCGCCAAATCATTCTTAATGGTCTAGTTTGAAAACTTTTACCAGCATGAATACCATTAACTATAAACAGACAAACAGTTTATACAGGCACACTATTTAGTTTATCCTTTATAATATGTCTGTTTAATAAGTATCTACAGATTTCTTGTGTTTTGTTGTAGTTGGTATACTTTAGACTGTTTATGAATTATAATTATTCAAAATTAAATCGAAATGACATTCAGGGGTTAGAGAAAATAGGACGTTAGAATAATCACAATGGAGGAAATCATCCTGTCCACACGACAGATTTATTATAATGCTGTTAATCGACCGTCCTCTTGTTTGAAAGACTTTCATGGTGTACATCCATCTGATAAGCAGACACAATTAGTAAAGTTATGTATATATTTGTGTTGCATCTAAATTGAGCTTGTAATGTGAAGATTTCGATTATCGTTAAAGATAACAGTAACTGTAAAGATTCATATATATTAGTTTTGTCCTTGTAATTTGTGACATTTGCATTTGTCTTGTAAACATTCACAAACTATATTTTTCTGTTCTACTTATAGCCGAAGTTTGTGTCATCTGCTGTGTTTGAGGTATATTCTCTTATTATTTGTCAGCTATAGAATGCTTGTTTATGAGACAACTTATTTTTAAACTGCTTCATCATATTTCATTTTAGGCACAGTTGCTATTTAAAATCTATAATAATTTTTTTGTAGTTGTTGGGAAATGACTAATATAAATTGTGGAACACTTCACTGGTTTAACATGTAGCTTATTGATTGCACCGACACATGTTCATTTAATAAAATAAATAGTATGTAGACATTATATATAGTGTGAATATTATCATCATCCTTGAAGACCGTGCAGTAACTTCAAGGGGAAGGAGAATAACAGCAATAAAGCCACTGTTCCTTTGACACTTGATATCGATCCCATTTTTTGTCTCGCCTGTGACGGAAGTCGCAGAATACGAGACAGGTATATGCTTATCCGGCTGCGGCGTTAACTATATGTATAAAGATTTGAATTTCAGAAGGCAGACAACCGGGATAACTTCATATATACCTTGTATACAGATACCTTATTTTAAGTTTCTGTCGTATTTTTATTTCGGGTGTCACTTTTGACTTTAAATTAAATTTTAATAGTTATATATCTAACATTTGTAGAAAGGCATCACAACATTTTAATGTCCCGAAGAGAATCGGTAAACATTTAAATAAACTGGACAAACTTACCATATACTATTCTTTTATTTTGTCAAATTTTATGATTATTGCCCTTTTGTTTGGCATTTTTGTGGTAAGACAAACACCGAAAATAAGAAAAGATACAAGAGAGCTTTGAAATTAATATATGACGATGAAAATAGCTCATATGATCAGCTATTTGAAAAGTCTAAATTACCGTCTTTAAAATCAAGAAGAATGAGATTTTTTAGCTATTGAAGTATTTTAAATTATCAATAAGGAGACACCTGCTTATCTACATGCTTTCATTGTTATAAAACAAAATTCTTACTCTTTTAGATATAGTAATAGTGTTGGTGTTCCAAGGGTGAATACAACTAGGTATGGCTTACATTCTGTGAAGTACGCTGCTCCTAAATTGTGGAATGACCTATCAAATGATACAAGGGGCGCTACTACTCATTGTAAAATATTATAGTTTTTAGCTTTGTTAGTTTATATTTTAATCCTGCTATCATTGTTTTGCTAGTGTTTGTCTGATGTTATTTGTTAAGTTTGTACTTTTAGTACGTCGGGTTTATAAAACTCCGAAGAGCTTAACGTTTTACTGTATTGTATTCTTTTTACCGACTTTAAATCAATAAATTGACTGATTTGATTTGATAGACCTTGACCTCATTTTCATGGTTTACTGACTGATAAAAAACTGTATGGGTTTTTTTTTTTTGTGTTTTTATTTCTTTCTTTCTTATTATTTAATCATAAATTCAATCATCATCTCACATGCGAGATATTTAAGTGTGTGCATTCTTGTTTCAACTTGTTAAGAGAACTTGGTAAATATCTATTTTGAAAAGATTTGAATTACCTTGATCATGGGGTATTTAAAAGATCATAAAAAGAGGAGTGAAACTCGAATGTTATGGTCATGTGTGACTGGATATGTTTTTCAACAGATTTGATTTTTAAAGAATTTTAATTATTTTCTTACCTCATTTTCTCTTGTAATTTAAAAGAATAATTTGTATGTAAAAGTAATCAATTTTCTTTCATAAAATCAAGCCATTAACGGATTAATATCTACACTTATCAAAATCTTGAACATACATATATTTGAAATATTCAAAATCACGTTTTATCTTATTTAAACATCTTTTCATTAAGGGAACACGCAATCCAATTTCGTAACTAAACATTTTGAAAGGAACACAAATATTTACCAATAATTTTCTCGTTAACTTCATACATAAACAAACTTTTGTTCATGATATACATAAATAATAGTTGGCAAGCGATTTAATAACGTATTGGCAATTGTTTACAAGAGAAAAAATTAGAAAAGAAAGTAGTTGTAAAAATGATAAATACCGTCTTTCAATTTTCTACTTTTAACCTAAACGAACCAAAGAATTTGTGCATGTAGTTTTTGTTTTCCTTCTTGTCTAAAGTCCGTTCGACGAAAGTTTAATGTAAATTGAATTCAATGTGCAATTGTCGGCTAGTAATATTTCTCATTTCGTTTTGCTCCTCCTTATTCCTCGTTTACTATAGCTAGTATATTGTATTTTTGTATGTATGTTTGCCTTTTGTAACATGCGGTGTATATACTGAGATGATTCACAATAACAGAAAATTAACTTTATAAAAGTTCAACTTTCTCCATAATAAGAACTTTTAAAGAAGACAAACTGTAGTATTACTATAACGTTTATGCATATCAGTTCGGCAAAGATGACCTGATGATATACACTTTAGGGGGAGTTATCTTTGCTTTTCATTTGTTCTCGTCATGCGCATGCATGACATATATGCCATTGGACATTAAAGAAAAAAATCAATCGGTTAATTTCACTTTTGAAAATGGCTGAATTTTGGATTGCCATTACGCTGAGTACGAGAAGTATGTGTGTGTGTTGTGTGAATTTCTGTGCAATGAAAAATTCCAGTTTAGACATGTTCAAATTTTTTTTAATAACTTTCCTCGGTGTTTACTTAGATGTCAAGGCGTGTAGATTTTAAACATATAGGGAATTGTTTGTTGTTTGATACTGTGTAGTATAGTAAATAAAACCCACATTGTTTAAACCCAACACGTCCCTTCCCTTGGCAACTCCATGTTTTAATGTCATACATATACATAATCGATTTATTATTGGCAGATACTATATACGTGTAAATATTATAAATATTTCATATTACTATTGATTTCCACTCAATATGTGGTGTAACATTTATGAAAGAAAGTGAACGTTGTTTGAGACCATCAATATCATTTACCTGAAAGAGAGTTTTAAATAATTTGATTTAAAAAAAAATATCATACAAATACATATACTTATTCTTCCTATAATGTGTTGTATAAACTGTGTGACACATTTGCCCTACAATTTTGAAGAGTGAAACTTAAATTTAGCAAAAACTGCAACAAATGAGATATTTTCTAAAAGTATAATGCAGCATAAAAATGTAATTTTGATATTTTCATAAAATGTTGATATAAATAAGGCAATACTTTAACATGTATAGACTACGCAAAACTTTCAAAGGCAACCAACCATGACTGAAGTTACATGGCCAAATAATCTCCGTTGAATTGAAAAATGCCAATGCTTAATGCTTATACAACTGCATACCTAATACCATTGACTTTTCCTAAGTCATTGCTTCCCTTTAAACTAACCTAAACACAACTATTTCCTAAGTCATTGCTTCCCTTTAAACTAACCTAAACACAACTTGGCATTAACATGTAAACAATCCAAATTTTCAAAGTCAATGAACCATGAAGAGAGGATGGGGCCATATAATTTTCATGGAAATAAGACGTGCAAATGTTATTACAACTGCATACCAAATATCATTGACCTATACCATTAGTGGTTCATCTTAAACTGACCTAATCTAAAATTTTAACATGTAAGCTATAGATGCAAAAGTTTCAATAGATCATCACTGAGGAGGGGGGAAATAATCTCCTTGGAAACGAGAAATATCAATGCTTTAACAACTACATACCAAATATCAGTGACCTCCCACTATAGTGGTCCCCTTATACTGACCTAATCGCAAGCTTTAACATGTAAACTAAGAAAAGTTTCAAAGTCAATGGTTTATGACCGAGGAGGTGGGACCAAATATTCTCCAAAGAAATGAGATGTTCCAATGTTAGTACAACTGCATACCAAATACCATTGATCTACCACCAGTGGTTCCCCTTATACTGACCTAATTACAAACTAATACATTGTTTAGCCGACGGAACAGCACGCCTAAGTCTTACTTTTTCGAGAGTTAGAGACAGTCTAAAAGGCCAGAGATGGTTTTTGTATTGTCCATAATGAGTTCTTTTTGGTTACTGTGATAATTGGTTTAAAAAAAATATACTTCGGCGTGAATGCCATTACACTTAAAACTTCGTGGGAAATATTTGTTCTAAAGATTTGCTTCATCGAAAAATTATCTCATAAGTTTGCTACATAAGGTTGATTTATCCTTTTTTCACACTAATTCTTATTCGTGATCAGATAACTAAGATGTTCAACGATTTTTAATTATCAGTTAAACTATATAGATGCATGATTATTCAAGCCAATGGTCCGGGTTAAACCAGATAAACTATATTGTCAACACTTTTTGTATACAAACATCCAACAAACACATAACAAATGGAAATGTTTTAATCAACGGAGTGTCGTTTAATCTCGTCATTTAAATTTCAACACCTCTTTAAACCTATGTTAATAAGGTTACATCTATGAATATAGACTATTGATATCTTTGAGTTATTGACAAATTTTAAATCATTTATCTTGTAAGGATCAAATTTTTTGTTTGTTTCTTGTTGCTTAGACATGTCTCATGTGTAAATTATTCTAACGAGATCATTTGCACTTATGGTGGATCAAAATGAACATTTTACTTCTAATGTCAAGTATATATATTAACACTCTTCTAAATTTTGTTATATTCAATGTCATTCAGTGAGAGAACAGAACATTCTTGTATTGTAATCCAGTTGTCGTTAAGATATATGTCTCTGGCTAGATGAATCTCTATAATTCCTTGCTAAATATGCCGGAAAACGAGGAAATTGTCAGTTGAAAAAGGAGATTTGGTTTAGTGGTCGATCTAGAAGAAAGAAGATAAGCAAAAAGGAAACAATCCATTTATGTGGAGAATAGGGTGGAGTTTTTTCCTTTCTTCATTCTTCCCCTCTGCTGTTCAGCTTCCCCTCTCGTCTTTTATATCTCCTTCCCTGTTCTTTACTTTCATTTGAAAGTGGAATGACAGCATTCTTTTCCGTAGCTACTTTCCTTGCAGAGATTTGGCATTTTTTTGTTAAATGATTAGTAAATATATGTCTCTGGTAAAATATCGTTGTACTTGGTCTTATTAAAGTTAATTACGGCTAGTATTTGGTTCATATCAGACTGTCTAAATTCATATTTGTTACCAAAATACAAATAAAATGTGATTTTCGGTATTGCTCTTCTATATCTAACATAAATAATGCCATCGAACTGAGAAGGTTTCTATGCACTAACCGTATTTGATGCTTTATAAAAAGGGGCCAGACCAAACCTGTACATCTACTTTTAGTACAACTCAATACCAGAGACACATTTTTTTACATACACATGTACATATGTGTATGTGTATATATGTCTATGTCAATACCATCGGAATAAGAACATTGATTACATTTAATTTGAGTTACTTGACATTAATCTGAAGAAAATCGAAAGAACTATGTTAAGGATATAAAACTATATACACAAGAACTTCTTTATTTTTTTTTATTTTAAGATGAAACAAACTCTAACCTCACATCTCACCGTCAAATTAAAGCAACAGTTTCGTTTGGGAGGTTGGGAGACCTTTTGATATTGTCATATGGTTATATGTTCAACTTCAGTGTTATTCAATTTTATTTTTGTCACAAACCTAAGTCTAGTGTTTAATTAATGGTAATACAATAATTACTTGATTTGACTTGGATTGAATTAATTCATTTTCGTCCTTTTTGTATCAGCGTTACTGAGGGGGGGTCCGTATTGGATTTTCATGAACAAGGGTTTTTATTCATTTCTCATAAAATGTTGGAAATTCGAAACCGTCGTCTCATTACCACACATATCTATATATATGTACTCGTTTGATATGTAAGGTTCAGTAAGCTATCTGAAATGATTCATTAAATTTAACGGAATATTAAACTTACACTTTTATATTTTTGGTTTTAAATCGCGATAAATTTTAACGAAGGGAATATATTATTTTTAAAAGATGACGCTTTGTATTTCAATTCAAACAGGTAGAAACAAAGTTGCGAAGAAACCGCGTGTTTTTAGGTTACCTGTAAATTTGTTTAAATAAAAACTTTTTAATGACCAATAAAATCGCTTCGTGTACCAGCTTGTGAAGTTTTTAACCAATCAGTGAGCTGGGATATTGTTACACTTTCTACAAAATCCTTCGGTCTAACTTTCAACGTCACAAGCACAGAAATTATACTCACAATCAGACTCGTTACCGGTCAGACGTGAGACTTTTTTCTAAAAAATCTTAATCTTCTACATATCAACAAAAAATCATGGTAAGTAATTTATTTAGTCAGAAAATTATTATTTGAAATGAACATATTTACGGACATGTGTATGTTTAAACAGAGAACATCTATAATCAATTGAGAATTGGGTCAAGTCGCCAATCGATTTGTATACGACCATTGGATCAATTTGTAAGCGGGAAAGAGATTAACTTTCTGATTAAATAACCGTTTTCATGCAATAACGGGAAAATATTTTATATTTATTCAGTAGGTAAGCTTTACTTGATAACCGTCCAGATATTTACCGTGACAAAATTTTGAAAAATGTAACGCCTGAACACCTCAATTGAATTTCTTAAAAGTAATTTTCTAATTTAACAAAAGGATTGCTTGTTGTTAAGTTCAATATTTGTTTAGAGGGCAACCAGTGTTGTTTGTTTATAATTGTTGATTGTGTATATAATCTATAAGGCAATTAACTTATGTAATGGAACATTAGATTGGTCTCTATATAATTTGCGTGATATTTTGTAATAACTGTAGATTCATATTATATCCTATGATCATTTTAAAATTTAATTGGTTTCTTGGTTTATGCGTTAATACTGATATTACATTAAATCTGAAATTACTATTGCTTATAATTAGTCCAGTAACATTTTAATATTTAGGTTTTTTTTTCTAGAAACGTGTTTTTTTCCAATTTTAAAATCTAAAATAAATAGCCGCACAAAACTAATGAGCCGGCCTAGCTACAGGGGAAAATGAAAATTCCGTGTCGAAAAATCCCCATGCACCCCGTCCCCGAAAATTGAATGGTCGTTCATTTTTCTTTCAAATACATCTATTTTACTTTTTTCAGAGGGAATGTATCAGTGTACACGTTGGACAGGCTGGAGTCCAGATGGGCAATGCCTGCTGGGAGTTGTACTGTTTGGAACACGGTATCCAACCTGACGGTCAGATGCCATCTGACAAGACCATTGGAGGCGGTGATGACTCTTTCAACACCTTCTTCAGTGAGACTGGAGCTGGCAAACACGTACCCAGAGCTGTATTTGTAGATCTGGAACCAACTGTTGTTGGTAAGTTATTTTTGTATCCTACGTAACAATACAAGTAAAATATCTGAAATGCATATCATTGGTCTTTTTTTTTTACTGTTTTCTTAGAAATCTTGTGTGTTTTAACTGCCGCTGTTTTCAAAGTATGTATTTCATTTCTCGTTAAACTGAAACTTGAAACCAAATAAGACTCGGAAGTTATTTGAAATTGAAGTAGTTGAAAAAACAAAGAAAACTACAGCGAACATATATAGCTTGGTTTGTGAGATTCATGAAGGATTATATTTCGTTGTTGTCGTGAATATTTTATGAAATCTGAAATTTTGTATCTTCAATCATCGAAGAATCTAATCGATTTCAAAGTAGAATATACCTTTTTATTAGAAACTGAAAACTGTCTCAACTTCTTTATAATTAGTAGCTTAAATGACAGGCAATATATAATCAGCTACGAGATGATAAACGTTTACGTCGACGGTTTTGAGAGTGAAATAGTTATGCACACACATACACTCAATTTAAATAGAAACAAATCTCGTTTGCGGTCAATCGTGAATATTTAAATTAGTTCCAGCCACAAACACATTTTACTGACGTGCGCGTGCTTCTCATGACAATGCCTAGGAAACAAACGAAATTTTTTATTTAACTCGTAATTTCATGGTTGTATCTAAAATGTTATTATAAGAAATGACTGCTTCATTTTTTAATTGTAAAAGTGTTGATCGTTCGCACATATAAAAGAAGCATCATTCAATTGTTTAATATTCAACATTTATGGTGAAGACTTTGCGTTCAATTTTAATTTATTGATGTTTATTTTGTAGATGAGGTCAGAACTGGTACCTACCGTCAATTGTTCCACCCAGAACAATTGATCACCGGCAAAGAAGATGCTGCCAACAACTACGCCAGAGGTCACTACACAATTGGTAAAGAAATTGTTGACTTGGTTCTTGACAGAATCCGTAAACTAGCAGATCAATGTACCGGTCTTCAAGGTTTCCTCATCTTCCACAGCTTCGGTGGTGGTACCGGATCAGGATTCACATCACTCCTCATGGAACGTCTCAGTGTTGATTACGGAAAGAAATCCAAATTGGAATTTGCCATCTACCCAGCACCACAAGTCTCAACTGCCGTTGTTGAACCATACAACTCCATCTTGACCACCCATACCACCCTTGAGCACTCCGACTGTGCTTTCATGGTTGACAATGAAGCTATCTACGATATCTGCAGACGTAACTTGGATATTGAGAGACCAACATACACCAACTTGAATCGTTTGATTGGACAGATTGTCAGTTCTATCACTGCCTCCCTGAGATTTGACGGAGCTTTGAACGTCGATCTTACTGAGTTCCAGACCAACTTGGTACCATACCCACGTATCCATTTCCCATTGGCTACATATGCCCCAGTCATCTCAGCAGAAAAAGCCTACCATGAACAACTCTCCGTTGCCGAGATCACCAATGCTTGCTTTGAGCCAGCCAACCAGATGGTAAAATGTGACCCACGTCACGGCAAGTATATGGCCTGTTGTATGTTGTACAGAGGTGATGTAGTCCCCAAGGATGTCAATGCTGCCATTGCAACCATCAAGACCAAGAGAACCATCCAGTTCGTCGATTGGTGTCCAACAGGTTTCAAGGTCGGAATCAACTACCAACCACCAACTGTTGTACCAGGAGGTGATTTGGCTAAAGTACAGAGAGCCGTCTGCATGTTGAGCAACACTACCGCCATTGCTGAAGCATGGGCTCGTCTTGATCATAAATTTGACTTGATGTACGCCAAACGTGCTTTCGTCCATTGGTACGTCGGAGAAGGTATGGAGGAAGGAGAATTCTCAGAAGCACGTGAAGATTTGGCTGCTCTTGAGAAGGACTACGAAGAAGTTGGAGTTGACTCTGTAGAAGGTGAAGGAGAGGAAGAAGGAGAAGAATATTAGACATTTTCTTAAAATCTTAGATATGACACAAAGTCACCTTTTGGTTGTTGTTAATTCTTGTCTCAGGAACTTTTTAAACAAATTTCAGGAGTAGAATGTTTATTTTATATATCTTAACACCAAAGAAGAAAACCAAATTATCAAGTAAAAAGAATAGAAATACCTAAAGTTATAATGTTGTCATTTTTTCGGTATATTATTCTATAAAAATGGGTAACATCAAAACATATTTTTATTGGGTGGAAGACGAACAGAAGCTAGAAATGGCGTTAATTCCATACAAATGAAGGGTTGCTGCAAGGCTTTTAAGCATAATAATAATAATTAACACCAGAAACTGAAATTTCCAAGGTAATCTCAAGTTCAGTCTTAATGAGTTGGAGATGAATGAGGAAATGCATTCAAGTAGTGTTTGTATATTCCATTAAGGGTGAAGATGTTTCAAACTAGAATCGGCTATGGTAATCTTAGGTATGACGAATAAATAAAGCAGCAACTCTTGTTAGTTTTAGAGATGCATGTTTGTTGCGTATTTTAAAAATCTAACAACGTGAATAAAGCAGATATAAATGAAACCGCAATCAAACACTATTTTGAAATTCATCAAGAGTGCACACGCTGAAACGTCTCGAATGTTTGTTGGAATTTTTAAAGATAGAGGTTTTACTGCATGCATCACAAAAAAACTAAACTTTATAAATTTAACATTGAACAATGAACCATGAAAAAAATCACAACTTTAAATGAACCATACAAGCACCTTGTAATCATTACATATACAACAAAATTAGTTAATATATTGCTTATATATAGTATCGGAGAAACTGACAAAAACAAAAACTTAGCATAGCCCGATGATTAATGAGCATCCGTTCAAGGTCGGATGAAACCTGGCAGACAGACATGCACAACGTACAATCATTGCATACACCAACTATAGTACACCCATTGCTTATAATATCGGAAACAAAACAAAATTCCACATAATCTTAACGTTTACCAATGAACCATGATAATGATGTCAAGGTTGGGTGAAACCTGTCAAACAGACGTGTACAACTTACAATTCCAAATACCAATTATAGTTGAGCTATAGTATCCGAGAAACTGACCAAAAACACACAAACTCAATAGTGAACCATGAAAATTGGGTCAAGATCAGAAGAAACCTGTCCGACAAACATGTACACTTGATAATCAGTCCATACACCAAATATAGTTAACCTAATGCTTATAGTATATTAGAAACGGCACAAACCATGAAAACGAGGTTGAGGTCGGATCAAACCTGCCAGACATACATTTACACTTAATAGTCGTTTCATGTACCAAATATAGTTCACCTATTGCTTGTAGTATCTGAGTGAGAAACAGAAAAAACCACAAACACTTAACCTTTACCACTGATCCATAAAATGAGACCAAGATCAGGTGAATCCCTTCTGACGGACATGCAACTTTGCAATTCTTGCAAGGATCACATATACCATAAATAGTCATATTTTTCATAATCTAGAATTTGATGTGACAAAAACTATGTTTTTTAAGCAGTCGACTCAACACTAAAAAGATTTGAAGCATCCAGATCTTCTAAAATATAAAGCTTTATACATACATATATATATATATAGTGTACGGCGCCGCATTAGCATGCCAAAGTCTCGCACTTTGCGGCGAGACAATAGTGACGTGAATATGAAAATTGCAAAAACGTTTAAATTGAAAATTACTTTGTTTCCTTCAATAACTTCAGTATTCTTGTTAACTTTTGAAATTAAAAAAAAAATCAGTAAGTATACAGGTTTAGATCGGTCCGGTTAATAGTTATGTTAGCACCATACCTCCGTAACATTTCTTATGAAAATATTAGATGCAATCCAACGAAACTTAAAACCCATATATATGCTATCTGTTATGTGAGAAGTTCAAAAGAATAAAATGAACTTCGTTTGTAAAGTATAAAAAACAATTTCAAATAATGTAATCGTTTAGTGTAAGTATATCAAAATGTTATCAAAAGTTACTGTACAATTTACATAACAATGATATACTTTTGTTCATTCTTAATTCAGTATAATTTAGAGAAAAATATTCAAGAATCTGAGTGGATAGTCTGATTAAACCTTTTAAATGCCATCGTATAAAATGGGAAAAAAAACAAGAGCGTACACACTAAAGTGTCTCGCCTGCTTTACTGATCATGGATGAATCTCAAAAATAATGTTTTACTGCACGTATCACATAAACTTAACTTTATCACATCTTCGATAGCCTGGGAACTGTATCGTTACCCTCGACTATCGAAGATGACTTTTATCAAGGATAAATGAAAATGAGGCCAATGTCAGTAAATTAAACCCGACAAGACGAACAAGTACATATTACAAGCATTATATATGCAAATATGGTTGACCTGTCTCTTAAAGTGTATGAGAAACGGACTTAACAACAAATCTTAACGTTGGCCCACCCTGCCAAACGGACATGTTTATCTTACAATCAACCAAAACACCAAAGTAGTTGACCTATTGCGTATTGTTTCACAGAACGATCTTGTATTAAAGCACCAACTACTTTCTTTTGAAAATGAAAATGAAAGATGTATTAAAATCTGCTAGATGAAGATAATAAATGTCTCAGTATTACTCTTTTTAATATTTCAAAGAGTAGAAGATCCATGTTATTAATTTATAGAAAATAATGTGGTTTGACACTATGTCCCTGTATGAAGTAGGTTATGAGTGCCCTTTACCGTCAGCGTCAAATTGGTTAAAATGTTATCGTGATTCGTCAAAATGTCCTTATCGTGATTCGTCAAAATATCCTTTTCGCGATTCGTCAGAGGTCTCAAACAATTATCCGTTACCCTTATTTTTGGAAAGAATTTAAAGTGATTCGTCAAAATATGTCGATTTTTATCGTCATACACCAAAAGTTACCGTTAACGTCATTTGACAAGATTTTTTTACCATTATTCGTCATAATTAAGACCCTTCTGAAGAAGATGATTAGATAACAAATAAAATAATAGAACCACTTTATTTTGGTCAGTCCGAACACTTTTCTGGACTAAACTTCACAAAGAAGCTGAACTGGAGGCTCCACAGAGCCTGTCTCGCTTACCTGGATATATATGCATCTTCAAAATTGGCCACTTGCCAACAGTATAGATTAGAATATAATTCGACTAAAATCTTTCTATTGTTGATCATGTATTGCTGTTTACTATAATTCTCTCTTTCTACTAAATATATTTGATATCCCAAATACATATCGTAAACCCTTTCCAGCTCACCTTTTTTGATTTTTAAAGTTACGATCTATCTATTATAGTTTCAAGAGAATAGGCAAAACATAAAGAATTCGTAAAAATCAATCGTCATTTAAGGGCAATAACTCTTATTAAGGAGTTGAATGACAATTTTGGCTATATTGACGTATATGTCTATCTTTGTCTTGTATAGGGGAGGGTTGAGATCTCAAAAAACATGTTTAACCCCACCGCATTTTTGCGCCTGTCCCAAGCCAGGAGCCTCTGGCCTCTGTTAGTCTTGTATCATTTTTAATTTTAGTTTCTTGAGTATAATTTGGAGTTTAGTATGACGTCCATTATCACTGAACTAGTAAACATATTTGTTTAGGGGCCAGCTGAAGGACGCCTCCGGGTGCGGGAGTTTCTCGCTGCATTGAAGACCCATATTGGTGGCCTTCGGCTGTTGTCTCTTTGACACATTCCCCATTTCCATTCTCAATTTTAAATCTATATTTAATAGGCAACGATTTCTGCAATTTGACTAATTTGTAGATTTGTCATGTCGATCATTTTTGCTTTTTAAAGTTTCGCTCTATCAATAAGAGTTTTCAAAATAATATGCCATAACGTTTAAAAATCATAACAATCATTGACGTATTTGTAGATCTTGTCATGTTGATAATTTTTGTTGATTCAAGTTTCTATCTATCTATCTATTATTGTTTTCAAGATAATATACCAAAACACAAAAAATGGTAAAAATCGATCGTCATTAAAGGACAATAACTCCTATATATGAGGAGCCAACTGACGATTTCGACCATGTTGTCCTATATGTATATCTTGTCTTGCTGATAATTTCTGTTATAGTTTTCTTGATAATAGGCAAAAATGAAAAAAAGGTAAAATTCGTCATTTAAGGGCAGTTACTCCTACAAGAAGTCGTCTAGCAATGTTGGTCGGAAGGCGAGATCATTGAACACAGTGACTTTTTTTAACAATATACACCAATGATGATTGTGGCAAAGTTTGGTTCCAATTGGCCTTGCAGTTTCAGTGGAGAAGATTTTTGTAAAAGTTAACGGACGACGACGGACGCAAAGTGATGAGAATAACTCGACTAAAAAAGAAAGCCAGTGAAATGCTTGTGTGCAGCTATGTCAGTGGCAAAACTTATGAACGAGAACAAAAGTCACTCTTCTTACGAAAAGTCGAGAAAATCAATAGTAAAACAATGCCGGTGACGATACTGATCAAAAGTTATTTCTAATAAACACCAATTGTTCATTTAAAAGAAGTTATTTGTTAAACTGTGTTATTAGAAATATACATATATGTGTCCAGTGCGTAGTATGAGGAGGAAGATAGAACATTTCTATCTGATTAGATACGGCTGTTTCCAACAGATCCACTGTTTGTGTGAAGAATGTCCATCCAGTATGAGCAGAACAGGTCTCTGAGGAGGCAGATTAGGTATAAACAGCTTTTGAAACCAATTACTGAATAAATCTGAATCAATAAATGAACTCTTACTGCATGCAAATAATGTGTTTGCTGGTGCATTGCCCATCAATGCTTGGCTTACTCTTTGTCCCTTAAAGATGAGCATTGGTGGTAGAACTCTTGCCTCTGCATTCACACAGCATAACGCGGTTACATTTTCGCCTCGTTCTCCGCTTGTTTTGGAGTGAACACTCTTTTTGCCTCTTTTACCGACAACCTTTGATGGATCATGTACGGTACTCAAGCCAGTCTCATCCGCATTAAAAATTTGCTGGGGCTTATCCTTAATGTTCAGTTTATCCATGAAACTTCCAAGCTTTTGAAAGTAAGCTGAGGTGACATTTGGATTCAGCATTGAACTGCGGGCTGCGCTAAGACCCTCTGGTATGCGTACAGATAAACATGGATGTCGATCTCTAAACCCTTGCCACCAATCATATCCGGCACTTTTCTTATCATTGTTAAAACAATGCTTTCTCCTCGACCTCACGGCTATCTCGTAGGCTAGCTTTCGGACATCTGTGATGGACAAACCAAACCCTCTTTCCTCCATTCTTAGTATATGCCCGACCAGAGCTTCTTCATCCTTTATAGCAAGTACTGTGGGTTTTGTTGCTGGTGAATCCAGGTCCATAGTTTTCAGTCTCCGAAGTAATGTTGTTCTTGGTATATTATATATCTTTGATGCTTTTAATTTAGACATGCTCCCACTCTTTACTTGGCGAACCGCTTCTATAAGACCCTCTTTTGGCATCTTTCCTTGCTTTGGAGTCCATCCCTTTTTCTTTCTAGCCATTTTGCTGAAATAAAAAAGATGTAGGTTGTATTGTTTTATATGAGTGTTTTATACGCTATATATTTTAGACCTGAGACTGGCGTCGATATACAGACTTAAAACCATGAAGATTGCGGGAAACAAATATTGTTTTACAGACATTGGCTAGTATTAGTAACTTTTATCAGATTTTCGAGCTCTTTGGGATGTATCCAATCTAACATGTTATTGACATCCAAGTTAGATCAAGTCAAGTTATTTTCAACGGAATCCCACAAACATTTATTGTAAAAGACAATTTAGAGAAACGTACATATCTGGCGGGTATACGACATGTACGCCGCCATATTCCAGAAGCAGGATGTTTTCATTCAGCTAGTTGTGTATTTTTTATGCCATTGTACTTTCAAAAGCATCATTGAAAGTCTCATTTTAAGGCATATTTGACGTTTTGAGAATCTCAAGTATGCATTCACGAACGTTTGTCGCCAAACGAGACACCTTTCTTTGTGTTATGTCATAAAAACAAACGCATGATTCATTAGACATACTAATTATCTCTAACTTCCATTATCGCAACCAGCAAAAAAATAATATGCATGAATATCAACTGCTACGGTGCATTGACCTTCAATTTACCTGTCAACTTTTCTTTGTCTTTGTCCGTTGTTTTGATCGACTACGTGTCCGATGGAAGACAACTCGCATTCAGACAGCCACCGGAAATAACTAACGCGGTGACCACTTACCACACATGTCCACTTACCCCACTCTCCCCTAAATAAACGATGTTTTATGTTCATTATTTATCGCGATAATTGCATCAGAAGCTTGTGAAACTGGCATTTCAAAAATGTTGATCATAGATGCATATTGATAAAAAAAATTGGAAAAAATATCATGTACATTCAAAATCTAAAGATCTTTAAGGTCACCAATTTTTAAAAATGTAGTTTTTCACATAGTCCTTATCATTTTACATTTTCCAAAAATATACCTATTTTTCACATCTAAGTTTTCGAGTATACCGGTCTGCTCATTTTTTCAATAGGAGTTTCTGTTCAGGTTCAAAACTAAAGATAAATATTTCATTCAGTAAGTTATCCGTTAAACGATTTTTTTAAAATTTTTGTTATACCATTTTAAGAAAAGATCGTCTCGATTTCTATACATGTATTTGCAGTCTTCTCGATAAGGGATAAGGTCCGTTTGAATTTGCTTAGTAACTTAATTGTAAGTGTTAATCTTTGCTGCATATCAATTGATTCCTTTGGAAATTTTTCCCTGAACTTCTCTGATCTATCTTTATACATATATGGATAATTGGCATGTTCCAGAGAGGTATACATCAAGTAAAAAAAAACAAAATAAAGTTGTTTCTCCAGGAATTTATTCGCATAGAACATTTTAAACCAATTTTACACAAAGCTCCTATATATAGCCTGATCATAGATGTATGGCCTGCTGTACTCGTCGTTTGCTATTTTTTAGAGGGAAATTAAAACATTATATGGAAATTTATTTTTTATTTCAATTTACCAAAATGTTTTCTAGTGAATTTATAATTTATAGCGTCCTTGCTAAAAAGAAACAGGAACAGCTGGAATGCCCGTGTGATATTTGACCCTTTGTTGGTTTTTTAACCAAATTTAAGTATTTTCATTATTGATTAATCTTCACTGTATATTTATAATAGATGAGATTTAGAAAATACAGAAAGTAGATCAATATTTGGCTACAATTAATGCTTTGAGGGTTGTTTATATTTTTACACAACAAGAGATAATTATGCGTCAGACGAATTAAAATTGAAATTGGTATTTTGATTTCATAATTTAATACATTATACATTATAATTACATTACGTAGAAGTTTCATACGATTCCGTTATTTTGATTGGCCGAGGTAACTCAGAAGTTAAATTTTATTTACATATTAAATGTAACATCTAGGACTGCACGTGCTTATTTTAGGTCAATTTTGGAAGTAAAAATGGCTCTTATTTGAAATCGACAGGCGAAAAAAACCAAAGGGATATTCAAATCTTAAGTCTACCTCTACCAAAAACCGGATGTGATCTCAGGTGCTCCGGATAATAAGCAGATTCTGCTCCATATGTTGCACCCGTCGTGTTGCTCATGCAAGTACAAACCCACTGATATGTCTTAGACTAATTCGGTAGGTCACTGTGGTTATGACAATTGGAACATATCCGTCGTTATCTGTAACATTTTCGAAGGGACGATTACTACTTCACCTCTTGGAACTCTTGGTTTAGTAGCTCCTCTAATTTAGAAACCTCTGATAGAAAAAAAATCTACCTTCTGAAAAAATGATGCCTTATATATACGAATAGTTTACTCTGTCGCCGCCGCCGCCGCCGCCGGATTAACACCCCTGTCTCGCATTCAATAGTGACAAAATTCTATGAAGATTTTATCGTTGAATCATGAATACTGAATCGTAGTTTGGAGACAAATTTTATTCATAGGAATCAGCAAAGCAAAGGACAAAATGTGGGGTTTGCATCAATTTTTACCATTCTAACGGACTTTTTTATGCGTATTTTATTTCATCTGATGTAAAGTTTGAAAAAACACATGTAATCAGAAAAACGATGGTTTCGAAATGTCTAATAACCGAGAACATCCTTAATTATATTGACTACAGTGTTGCTTACCTAGAAAATTATCCTCACAAGTTCAGCTACCATCTAGCCTTAACGCCTTTTTATATTTTCTTATTTTAGTTAAATCAAAGATAAACAAGTTTTGAATCTCTGCAATATTTGTAATATGAATTGTATTGACTTGGTTTTCCAACGATTAAATTATTATTTGAGGAAACCATTTAAAAAATATAAATAAGAACTTAGATGTGGTATGAGTGCCAATGAGGCAACTCTCCATCCAAGTCACAATGTATAATAAATTGCTTCGCCGAGCGCAGCTGGATACGACCGCAGAGGTCTAACCCTGAACAGTTGGGGCAAAAAGGACACAATATTCGCGCTTGATACAGGTCTGAATTTGGATTGTAATTAAATATTTGACACATAATAGGTTTCTGACACAGAATAACTGTAGTCAAAGAACTTAGAATTGGTTATATGATTTGAATTTATATTCTATTTTTTGCTTTTGTGCAATACACTTTGCTGTTGCGAATTGACCCCCCCCCCCCCCCGAAAAAAATTAAAAAAATTCCCCCCCTTTTTTTTGCTTTTGTGCAATACACTATGCTGTTGCAAATTGACCCCCCCCCCCCAATTTCTTTTTACCCCCCCCCCCCCCTTTTTTTTTCAAAATAATATATTTGAAGAAATTTTTAATTTCTGAAATCTGAAATGAGAAAAAATTGTCCACCCCTCACAATTTCTTTTTTACCCAACCCTCCCATATTTTTTTTCACCTACCCCCTTTTTCCAAAAAAAAAATTCTTTCCCTCAAGATATGGTCATAATTTCAATTCAAATTTCCAATGGAGTTTGCAACCATAATTACCCATTTAAATACATCATAAAAGTCTTAAAATAGAAAATGACATACATAATCATGGCTAAAATTAATATTCTTTATTCAGCATTTTTAAATAGTAACTTCTAAAAATAAATTGACAGCTAATCACCTCAAGAAAATACAACATTTCTTTATACATAATTTAAAAGCAGTGTAAGGGAGGTAATCCAAACATAACATTTTACTTTGTTTTCCCCCTTTTTTGCCCCTAATTAGTAAACAGTTTGAGCCATAACCCCCCAAAGCTAATCCTAACCATCCCTTTGTGGTATGGAAACTTGTGGAATAATTTCAGAGAGATCCATACACCGTTCCACAAGTTATTGACTGGAAACTAGAAAAATGCTTATTTGGGCCCCTTTTGGCCCCTAATTCCTAAACTGGTAGGACTATAACCTAACTCCTTTTGTGGTTATAAACCGTGTGTTCAAATTTCATAGATTTCTATTTACATTTACTAAAGTTATTGTCCGGAAACCAAATGTCTTCGGACGACGCTGACGACGACGACGTGATACCAATATACGACCGCAAAATTTGTTGCGGTCGTATAAAATGTTAACAATTATAGGTCAAAGTACGGTCTTCAACACGGAGCCTTGGCTCACACCGAACAGCAAGCTATAACGGACCCCAAAATGACTAGTGTAAAACAATTCAAACAGGAAAACCAACGATCTAATCTATATGAAATAAATGGAGAATGTGTCCCCATGGACGATGCCCCCGCTTGTATACAATATTATAAAGGGACAATAAAAACTCAAGAACAATAAAAGTGACGCTACCCAAATTTGTACTTGATCTGAGTTTTGTGGTAATAAGTATTGTGTAAAGGTTTCATAATGTTATGTTGAGGCAACTTAAGTTAGAGAACGGAAACTAAAAATTTGGCATTTTTCCCCATTTATAAAGGGACATAACTCGAAAATGGTTAAAGTGACGCCACCAAAATTCAAATTTGATCTGTATTTTGTGGTAATAAGCATTGGGTATAAGTTTCATAACATTTGGTTGAGGCAAACTAAAGTTAGAGAACGGAAACCAATTTTGGGACGTAAGGACGTACGTACGCGCGTACGTACGTATGTACAAACGGACAAGGGTAAAACTTAATGCCCCCCTCCGCTACGGCGGGGGCATAAAAAAACGAGAAACGAGAAACACACTGAACAACAGGATGGTGACCTATGACAGGTGATAAAGACTACTGTGATTAAAGCGAGACAACTCAAATCAATTTACCTGTTAGCCTGACTTACTGCTCTATAGTCGACTTACTGAAACGAATAGAAAGTTGGGCATCATCCCAGGCTATCAACTTGTTTCAGAATAAATGCCCCTCCCTCTATCCCAAAACCCCCTTCCTTAATTAACACCTTACGCGGTCGATTTTAATGTTATATTCATGCTAGAATTTAAATTCACCATTTTCAATTTTAAAGTATTTTAGTTTGAAAGAAAACACTATTACTATTTTCAGGGTGTATATTATTAAGAATGCTTCCTTTCCGATTTTAAAACTGAAATGGTACAAAAAGTTTAACGAGAGGTATTTGTTAATAATTGTTTTGTACGATAAACAGGTGTTTCCAGTAATATAACTGTCAAACGCCAACGCATAAAATAAAAAAATCAGATGCCAGTGTTT